TCACGATAACGCAGAACGGGAATTTACCCTCTGCTGTGGTTACTGCGTACATTGAGAACTAGCTATGACAAATTAGGAAAATATCTCTACCTACATCAGTTGCAAATTAGATGAAAATTTCCAAACAAAATAAATTTAAGAAATTGAATAAATGAATTGGTAAAATAAGACCGGTGGGGCCAACGCATATTTATATTGTGCAAATCGAAAAGTAGTAAAATTTCTATGGAAATTTTATGTGAAATATGTATCACTGAAAATAAGGCAGCGAGTAATGTCAAAATTTACAGTTATGCTATCTAGTGACATCACATGTATATAATTCCACCATGGATAACTCTAAAATTTCAACTCAATTCTTATACGAAATATAAAAATTAGTCAATAAATTTTTAAAAAGGTACATCATAAATTTTGCTTTAAATATATCTGTGCCTTAACTTTTTAATTTTTGAAAAATCCGCATATTTATATTTGCTAAAGTATTATGCAATGGGAAAGTAATTTGGTAGATTTTTTTGCATAAATCCATTTGTAGGATTTCTCTCAAATTAATGAAAATATTTTTTTCTTCGTGATTATATTCTCTAACTAGAAAACTAATGTTATACTTATACGATCCACTAGCAATTTTTATTTCTCGATCTAATTTTTGAGTTGTGCCTCTTTTGACGACGGTGTGCGATATGTATACTCAATAAAAATATGAATTGGAAAATCTACCACATCTTATTCAAATCTACCACATGTTTTTGCCGATTCTACCACACTAAAATAAAAAGGGGTTTGCACACTGGTAATGGTGCTTCTCGAAGAACGGGCCTCTTCGCATGCTTCAGTGTTCGCCAAAGGGAGTGCTCAGCAGTGTTGCCAAGCATGGGCTTTTCCTACCAAAACTGGTAGGTTTTTTCCCATTTGGTAGGTTGGTAGGCTTGATTTATTTGAGAAAAATAGAAAATAGAATTGGTTATTTGAGAAAAATAGAAAATATGTATCTCCAAACATTTTAGCAATTTTTTTTACATGAATATTTCACCGGTGCGTTCGTATAACGCCGGCCGCAAACATGATTCCTCAGTACAAACGTATACCCTTATTATTGCCAATATACAAAACGAACATCCATATATACTTATGGCGTACTTGGACCGAGATTCCAGGAAAGTCTGCCAATGGGCTTGTACCTAACCATATTCTGGGCGGAGGTCTTCGCAATCGAAGTCTGTGCTCGCGAATTTTATCGTAGGAGCAAATGAGGCCAAAATAAATATTATGTAAGATATTCAGGCAGCGTTAGAAGCCTTAGGGTCTTTTAAAACGGCATCAAGGCTTGTGAACTCTTGAACCACCTGGAAGCCCACAATAGCGTACCGCTGTGGAGGGTTCAGGGACATGAAGGGTTTGAAGGCAACGAAACGGCTGACTGTCTTGCAAAGAGTGGAGCCCAAATGCGTTTGCATGGTTCCGAGCCTTTTTGCGGTACATCTAAAGGATACACTGCAGACCTACTTAGGAGCTAGCTGGGAATTGCTGCACACTGTCGGAAGTCGAAGGGAATAAGACAATCAAAGAGATTCATAACTTTTCAGGAGGAACTCCGAAAGATACCTTGAACTTAAAACTCTTACTGGCTACCTGTCAGCACACTGCAAGTGAACTTACCGATTAAATTAAAGGGTCTTTCTGTAGAGACTGATGTAGGCTTTGTGGGCCGGTGAAGCAAACCCCAGAGTATATTCTATGTGCCTGTCCACGAAGCATGAATAGTTGATTGATGCACCTTTGAGAAGACAATCCTTCTCCATCTAAAATTTTCATCCAAAGTGCTGATCTTTTTAAATAGCCTAAGGTTGGAGCGATTACAATTAGGATTTAGCACAATATATCTTCTTAAGTTGCAACGCGAGTATCTCCGACGTAATAATAATAATATAGTCACTTGACACGAATAAAGACGGTCGGGTGTTTTGACGGCGAAAAAGGATGCGTGAAACAAATTTGCGAAAAAAGACGCGTTAACAAGGATTCAACATCATTCCGGAAAAAACTCTTTGGGGAATTCGTATACTCGCAAACATAGTTGACCGCGAAAATAAGTATTCTTCGTCTTTCTTCGCCGTCAAAGAGGTTAACGCGTCTTTCTTTGCCCTCGCCTATGTTAAGGGCCGGTTACTCAATGTCTGGTTAACACTACGGTTAAACATAGTTATCGACGATACCGACTCCCTGTTGTATGCATGGAGTCGAACACGTCGATAAATATGTTTAACCGCAGATTAATGTTAACCAGACATGGAGTAACCGGCCCTAAGACTCCTTCTTCGCCAAAATTTTTTAAGTGTCTTTTTTCGCGGTCAACTTTTGAGCTCGCGTCTTTATTCGTATCTAATGACGATATGTATGTATGTACAGTAAAATGAATCGTTATATGCAGTTAATTTGTTTTAATTGTACTAGCTGTGTTTTAGTTTTACTAAATGTTATGTTAGCTATGTTTTTAAAAAATTTGACATTGAAAAAAAATATATTAAAACTCAAAAAAATTTTTGGTAGGTTTTGGTTGGTTATGGTAGGAAAAAAAATGTGTCTGTGGCAACGCTGGTGTTCAGTCTGTTTTGAAGCAGACAAGGACTGAAGGATCGACTGCGTACTTCTTTCTTTTTCCACCTGCCAGTGATCGGACTTCTACCACATTGTGGTAGATCTGCCACTTTTTTGAGCATCTACTACATCTTCCACACAAGGTCTGAAATCTACCACATATTCGCGGTTTTTGAGTAGTTTTATTTTGGCTCGATATAATTTTCTTAATTTTAAAAGCAAAAATTGTCCAACACTAAACACTAACAACAGGCAGAATGGGAGGATAAAATAAACATTAAAATAGCAAATTTTCTCAATATTCAATTTTTCGACAGGAAACATGGTTTTATTTTATTAAATTGCAAAATATATGATTTATAAAAAAGAATTAATAGCGAAAATGTTAAAAAAATGGAGATTTTTGTGAAAGTATTAGAAAATTTCAGTGCATCTAAAGTTTCTAAAGCGTTGTTTATTTTTACTTGAGAATTGTCAAAATCGGCAAATCCCAAGTAGCGGTTTCTGGACCGTGCCACATTTGTCCGCTCCATCGTGATGTGATAAATAGAAAAGCTGGCAGCACTCCGCAAGGTTGCAGAAATCTTTCAAAATATGTTCGAAAAATATCTTGATATGGAAGGAACCGCTTTACACTGTCAAGGAAAAAAATTGCCAATTTTTAGCAACTTCAATCTTGCACTTTATTATACTAAAATTAAGTTTTCTTGGATTCGAATTATAATGTTTACAATTTAGGTGAAACATTGCAGAATATTTTTAATTTTTGTACAAAGTTTGATCCAAAACCTGATATCTACCACATTTTTTTGAAATCTACCACATTTTTTTGCAGATTCTACCACACAAATTTTTTTTCAAGTCCGATCACTGCCACCTGCAACAAAATACGCAATTCCTTTGTACACGCATTCAGCTCCTGTTTAAGCTTCGGAGAGCGAATTCTTTGCCGTTCCCTTCTTAATTTGCGCTTTTTACTTATTAAGTTATGAATGTTTGAGGTGTGTAGGCCAGGGCAGTAAGAACTGCGATGTTTAATAAAGGGATTTGGGGTTACAATTTCTGCGGCCTTAACTATTATATCAGTGATATGTTCAGCTGCCCTGTCGATATCATTCTTGGTCCGAATAGGAATTTGCGGGTCAATGTGCGAACTGACATATTTTTTGTATTTTAACCAGTTTGTGTGCTTATTTGGAAGATTTTTTTGTTTTTCTTCATAATTAATAAACATTGATAATGTTATGAGGCAGGGTGAATGATCTGAAGAGAGATCAAATAAGGCTTCAGTATTAACTCGGTGTCGCGCAATACCCTTTGTTACACCAAAGTCAATGAGATCGATTGGTTTTTGGGGGTCAGATGGCCAATACGTTGGCTGACCAGTAGACAAGATGTCAAATCCTCTGTTCTGGATTACTTTACACAGATTCTACCCTTTGGTGTAATCAATCTAGATCCCCAGAATGTGTGCTTGGCATTGTAATCTCCTGCTACAATAAACTTACTGCCAAACTTTAGGAAAAAGTCATTAAATTGTTTTTCTGTTATGTTATGACGAGGGGGGCAGTATATAGCAGATACAGTAAGGCCTCCCAAGTGGTCATCAATGTGTATTGCAGCGTTATGAATGAACTCATCACTTTGCGATTCTAATTCATAGTGCTTTATTCTGTTACGAATGAGAATAGCTTTTCCACCTCGGGCTTTACCTTGTGGATGCTTAGTATCATAGAATTTGTACCCATTAATTTGAAAGTTATTAAATTGCGTAAGGTGGGTTTCAGATACAAGCAAAACGTCTATATGATATCGCTCTAGGAAAATTTCTAGTTCGTTTTTATGCTGGGTTATCCCGTGCGCATTCCAAAAACAAATTTTGAGATTATTCATGGTTTACCTAAAATGGCTTGAAGTAATAGATTTTGATTTTTAATCAAATCTTGACCCATGCTTTGCATTGCCATCATTTGCTCCTGCATAACTTTCATAAAGTTGTTTATACACCCAGAAAAATATCCTCGATTTTTAAGTAACACGATCCATGTTAAATTCACATGAAACAGTTGTACACACGAAACAACAACAATTTTTCCATTTTAACATGATATTTTTAACAGGAAAAAAGTGTTAAGAGTAACATGAAGTATTTTTGGTTAATTTACCAAGATATAGTGTTAAATTTACATGTGAATAGTGTTAAAAATATATGGCAACGTGATTCCTGTTTGTTGCAACCTGAGTTATTGTAAAATTTACATGAGGGTTTTTTTAAATAATGTTGATTCAAACACATAAAGTGTTAAATTTACATTTAGTTGATGTTAAAAAGGTCTGGCAACATGATTTCTGTTTGTTTTGACATGAGCTATTTTGAATTTTACAGGGTATGTGGTTAGAGATCATAAAAGTACCGTAATATTTTATTTGCGTGCGCGTTCTTCGTCATTCGGTTGCATTTTTATTTGGTGTATTATTTGTGAAAGATTATTAAAAAAAGCTATTTAAATATTAAGAAGAATGGGTACAGAAAATGTCTTTGGGGAATCGGCGGGCATATATTTCGTTGTTGATGGTGATTTAACCATGGGGAATGAAGTTGAGACTTCACTGCAGCAAAGCCAAGCCACTGAAGCTTCACGTGAAAAGAAAATTTGAAAGACGTCGTATGTGGTAAAATGAACTTCAGTGAAGAAGTTTATCAAAGAATTCTCGGTAAGTTCTTTGAGAATCTGCGAGGAACCATATGCATATTTATGTTATTGACAGATTGCGGAATGGATGTAGAAAGTCTGTATTTCATCAACGATGGGGACATAAATGAACTTTTCCCTGCATCAATGCTCGGAACGAGAGTAAAGTTTAAAGAAAGAGTTGCACGTTGGCGACAGAATGAAGTAAGTAAATCATTTTCACATCAATGATAAGCTTTGCATACTTTTTTTATTTAAAGGCTGATACCATTTCGTCAATAGGATCATGCAAGAGTTGGATAAATTCTAGCCAAGAGTCTCACGACTCGATAAGAGACATGGAAGCAAAGAATTTAAAGTTAATACTTAATGCCACTGAAAGAGGTCAAAGCATCTTTAAACAATATAGAGAAAAGACCGTGCTGTCAGATGTTAGTCGTGACATTTTGGTAAATACCATTGTTGACCACTTCTCAGCGCGATCAGTGCCTATGACAATGAAAGATATCATCACCTTTTCTGAGCAAATAACAATTTTATTTCCCAACGAAGACATGGTATGTATGCATTTTCATATTCACTTGCTATCAAAATTTGTAAATACATATGTAAAGGAGGATCAAGTTTCAAGCGGATAAAAAATAGCACTGATTTTTAATAATTTTTTAGCTGACAGATTTTTGCCCTTTTTTCCTTATAAGCATGAATTTCTTACGAAATAAAAAGTGGAAGAAAGTTCGAAACTCTGATTTATATGGTTTTGGCTAAAGCTTGGATACAATTTTTATAGAAAAATAACAGAATAAATTTAGCTTGAAAAACGTTGTGAATATTAAAAAAAAAAAAATTCAACACTTAAATGCATTTATTTTACTTTTATTTAGCGCTATTACTGCAACCGTCGAAATGGCAAAAATCCAACAGGCAAACTTTATGATAAGGCAACAAACATCCGAAGGAAAATAAAAAAAGAAACAGGAGCACTAAGCGTTGCACCTAAATGTCAACCCACTCAATCAAGTTTGTCGGAGCAGGCGAGCAATAGTAAATTTAATTTTACAAAAACGTACTTATCTATGTACGTGTATGTATGTATATACCACTATATTTGGCCCACAGTTTCGTGAGTATATTGATTGCTTCGTGGGTTTCGAAATTTTTTTGTTTTTGTCGCACGGTGCAATACCTACACGTACATACATACAAAAATAAGTACATACACATGTATGGAAAAACCATGATTAATATTTCCTTCGATTAGCAGATGAAAATGACTTAGCCATGAAAAATTGGCTTTGTCATAATGTAGAGCCTTGGGGCGATGTTGTAGAAAAATGGACGAACACAGTCAAATTAAGAACCGCAGAGATTTTAAATGAACACGCAAATATTTTAACTAATTGGCCGCTGCTGAAACACAGTCTTGGATACACTTTGGTAAGTTTAGCTTTATATATGTACCTATTTTAAATTTTCTTATTTATGATATAAAACTTTGGAATTTGTATATTTTCAATTATACTGCAGGTTGAAATTGATTTTGAAGCGAAATTTCCCAACTGTTCGCAGAATTTGCTAAACGAATGGCCAAAATTTAGAAAGTCAATTATACCTTACATGAAGACAAAAATAAGAGATGCAACGTCCATTGATATGCTAAAAAAAATTGACGAAAACATCAGTACTGGTAAAGCAACAAGTCTAATATTTATTTTTTCAAGTATTTATTTTATTTTCTTATGCAGACTCAATGGATTGTTTATTGACACTGCTTTTGCATGCGATACTTAAACCGTCATTAATTTCCGTTGGACAAACTTCTGGTGAAAAACGGCTTAAATGGAAGCCATCAATATGTGATGCGCAAGCAGTGACATTGCTGCATTCTGCAATTCTGTATTACCTAGTACTTTAAGCTTTAAATACAATTCCGATTTTCAAAGAGAATATGAATTATCTAATTATCAATTTTATTCAAAAGTTACTTTTAAAGGATTTTTATTTAAAAGAGGGTTTTTTGTTATTGTAAAACAGGAGGCTATATACTTGTTTCAAATCGAAGATATTGTTGTAAGTTTGATGCAAAAACTTTTCTTTATTTGTTCACAGTGGGAAATTATAAATTTCAGTACACATATTCAGTCATACTTGGTAGGTGAAAAATCAGATAGTTATAGTTTTATAAGTGCAGACAAAATTAGCTCACCTCCTGTACATATTCATATTCTTCAAAACAATCAAAAAGCAATCCGTTTAAAAAGTATTTAAAACAATTTGATACAGTTTTTATGCAGAGCTTAGAAAAACTCAACAAATTTTTATAAAAATTGTGGACTTTTAAAACTTTCAAACTTTTTTGGGCATGCAGTTTTATAGCCTCTTAAATTTTAGTCTGATAAAGCGCAAGTTGTAAGCGGATAAAAAATCGCGTTGATTTTTAAAAACTTTTTCATTGTCAGTTTTTATAAATTGCACTTGTTGTATAAAAAAAACCGCAAAAGCCGTCAGCAATTTTTTATCCGCTTAAAACTTACGCTTTATCATACTAAAATTTAACAGGCTACAAAACTACCCAAAAATGTTTGAAAGTTTTTTAAAAGTCCACAATTTTTATAAAAATTTGTTGAGTTTTTCTAAGCTCTGCATAAAAACTGAAAGTTTGATTTATATAGTTTTGGTTAAAGCATAAACCATGTTTTCATAAAAAAGTAACAAAAAAAAATTTTACTTTAAAAACCTTGCACATGTACAACAAAAATCACCATGGACTCAGTTTCGCACTATAGTGTATGTATGTATGTACATATGAAATTTTCGTGTATGAATTTTGTGTAATAAATAGATAAGTACTTAGTTTTTAAGTCAACAGTGTAAATATTTCAATTTTTTTAATAAAAATAAACTAAACAAATTGTTATTTATTTTGTAAAAGTAGGGACACAAGGTAACACGATGTCATATTAAAATAACATTAAAATATGGTTCTTTTAACATGAAGACGTAGTGTTATTTTAACAACAACTCCTGTTGATTCAACCAGTATTTTCATGTAGAATATCCTGTGAAACCAACCACATGCCTTGTTAAAATAAACCGATGTTTCAGGTTAAATTTACAGCACTTTCAATGTTAAATTAACAATTATCCAATGTTAAGTAAAGAAGAGGGAAAAATGTTAAAAAATTTCCTTCATGTGAAAATAACATGACATATCGCGTTGAAAAATAATAACCACAAAATTGGTTAAAATTTGGTTGTTTTAACACGATTTTTTTTCTGGGTGTAGTAGCTTCTAGGTTACTACTATTCTGACCAAAAAGAGGTTGTGTTGGAGGAGTATTTTTAAGCATTTGTGCATATGAAGTAAAGTTATTAACAGTCATTGGCGCAGACATTGGCTTATCGGGTTCTGGTATGGGATTTTTTTTCTTTCATTGAGATATAAACTGGACAACATCTATAGTTAGCAGTGTGATTTCCACAGCAGTTACTGCACTTTTTAGATTATGGGTCCATTTTTGGTTTCACACATTCTTTAGAAGTGAGTATATCCCCACAGATAACACGGACACCAGGTAAGGTGCAGTAGCGACGTGTGTGACCAAATTCCTGGCAGTTATGACATTGAACAGGGCCTCTACGCTTATGGGGTTCTTCTACGGAGATTTTACGGTGTAGAAGATATCGCAATTGATATATTTGATGCACTTCCCCTTTCTTCAGATTGTGAAAGTCAGGTTCTAGCTCTATTTTGAACATCGGTTGAGGGATGTTTTCTTTATTTTTGATGTTGAAAACATTGCGCGCCTTAAAACCTTGTTCCCTAAGAGCATTTTCTATCTCTTGTGAGTTCACACTGGACTCGATGCCTTTTATGACAATTTCTAGTCCTCGACTACTTTTAAGTTGATAGGTGTAATAAGATTTCTTACACTTATCAAACTCATTGGTAATTTTGCGAAAAATATCTTCGCTTTGAGCTTGTATTTTCACTTCGTGTATATTACACTTTTTGTTAGGAACCACATGAAAATTATTTTTCCCTACTAGTTTTAGGAGAGTATCTACCAGAGCATTAGAACTTTGTTCTCGTAGATAAATAGGTGGAGGCTTGTATTTTTTTGTACCTGTTGGTTAGAATCATTTTATTCATATCATCGAGAATACTAAAACAATTATTCTCCGCCGATGTAGAAGTACCTGAACTGACTACTTTCAACATTTTATTTTTTGGGATTTGTTTTCCATTTTTTTCGGGTGTGCGCTTTCGCTTTATTAATATGTAGCGATCTAACCCAGTCTGAACAGTAGCATTTTTTGCTTGTTTTTCGTCTTCTTTGTTTGTTGCCGTCGAAGTATTAGCATCGGCAGCTGCGTTGTTGTCCGCATTGATCACTGCTGGAGAGCAAGAAGATGCTCTTTGCTTGGCTGCATCTGCTGTTTGTGATAGTGTGTTAGCAGTATAAGAGTTTTCTTTAGCGTTGTTGTTGCTGGTTTTGCTTTTTGCGCTGTATGCAGTAATTGTCAGATATGCATTTCTTTTGCTTGCATTGAGTGCCTGCGCTCCTTTAGGGGAGCGCCCTCGACACTCATCTCTCACTTAACTACCGGTTTGTATGTAAACAAATAATTAAATTATTTTTATACACACAATGTCGTATTGTTTATTAGGTATTTTTCGCGATCACGGTTTGATTTTTTATACTGCTGAGAGCAGTTCGCGGAGGATGGTTCCGTGCGCAGAAGTGGAAAACTTTTGACTGCTATTCACCTGGGAGTGGCCAGAAGCGATTCTTGTGCGTACGGTTCAAA